GACGTTAGAATCCTTATGTTTACATGTATGTACAGGAAACTATTGTTCAATAACATAAACTGTAAATATTATAGAAATATATCACGTTTTCTAATGCGTTGCATTTGTATGCTTGTTGTCGTGTTTCTTAAGTCCACATGGATCTTAAAATGGACATACACACTATGTGAGAGAAAGTAAAGAAGGCCATGAATCTCTGTGTTACAATTATATGACCATGTGGGGTATCAAAGCTATCTAATCTAATGAATGCTATCAGTGCTGTTACGAGTCGTACTCACGAGACTATAATTACATGTTAACAACGCTAAGCTGGCTAAACAAATTACTCGGATTATTAAGACAACTGTTTAGGAAGTATTAAGTCTTCGAATGTTTTTTCAAAGGATGACCAATCACATTGCCGATTTTATTAACAGAAGAAGTTGTTTTCTGAGATTTATTGAAGAAAGAAATGATGTCTTAAAGGTAGAAAAACATTTCTATTTAACAAAGGGGCTTCTTTATATATTTAATAGAATGACTTTCATCATATGTTTCATTTATCTTCATATTTTCCACCTGATCAACGCAATATTACAAAATAACAATAGGAAGATAAAGTGAGACAGAAATATGATAAGCAGGAAATGTTAGAAACAGGAACGTGACCACTGTATTCTATTATATTATTAAACCAGGGGTTGGCAGTTCTTCCGGCGGTTTCCGGGACATGAACGAGAGGTATGATTGGATAAGAAGCTGGGACAGAAGGGGGTAAGTAGGTGACCACTTGTAAGTACTTATAGTCAGTGTAAAGAATGTCCATATCATGAATGAATCAAATTACACACTAACATTGCTTGCCCCGTGAATTTATGTCCATTAATTATATCTACGTACTACTGTTTTCTCGTAACCGATTTTTATATTTTAATTAACAAATAGTTTGAATTACAGTGATAAAACCACATCAAATGTTTGAAATGTAGCATTTCAGAATGGGGTTTAATTTCCATTGTGTATATAAGATTTCAATATAAGTTTAAACATTTGAATAATGTCAACTATTTAATTATACTAGAATACATTCTTACCTTGCTGTAGTTTGTCTCGGGAGCTACTTATTGTTTAATTTATATAATACACACATAATTTAAAAGCTTTTGCAATGATTATATAAAGCGGTAAATATTTCGACAAATTTTGTAGTAGAATGTTATCTAATTTAATAATAAACTTGGTACAACTTTAATAGTAAAAACACCGTATATCGAAAACAGTTTCTGAAGTCATAATGAGTATAATGCACGAAATGTTTAGCACCGATGAGTTTTATTATCTATATTAAGTATATCCAAGTAAATATAATCTAAATGATAAATTTTAAAGCAAATATTTAACAAAGCCAGCAGAGAAAGTGTTTCATTGATATATTCACTGTAGCCCTTGTTTTATGAAGAAATTACTAGTATTCCACGTTTAAATTATTTTTGTGTTCCAACAAGTCGCGGAAAATAACATTTCTTCTGCGTTATATTCATTAGCATTGTCAAACGGCTCAACAGATCGACTTAATCAAAACTTAGTATTAATAATGCATTATATTAGATAAACATGATAAGCACGATTATAGAATTCTGAAATGGGTAAAAATGTTTGATTTTGTTTGATGTCGAAAATAACTTGAAACAGGATTGCTTTATTAAATATTTTGACGAAAAGAACTAAGATTACGATGCAAAACGATTCTTTCAGAATACTACATAAATAACGACAAAAGGATAAATATAATTACGTTGCAAATATCAAAGAGCTTTCAGAGGAAATTTTATAAATAAAAGAAACTCTGCAAAAATCGAAACTCAGACATAAGAATGGGAATTAAAACTTTGACAAAGAATATTCAAAATAACACAAACGATTCAATAACGCAGAGAGATTAACTAATTTCGTCACATAAATATTTCTGCTACTACAGGGAAATATTCTGCACGCTATTGTAATACTATTAGTGAACAGAAAGTAGCGTTCTGCGAGTTTTATCCCCCTTTCATAATCCATTTAACAATATCTTTGAACTTTACAATAAACGAGTATTAGGTTAAGTAAGTAAAAATCTCGGCTATAATTTCGTTTTTAAAGAAAATGCAAGGATGTAATTGCAAAAAATTATGTTCCATTGTTTAAAGAATATCCGGGATATAATTCGGTTTTAGGGAAAATGAAGATAATTGAAAAAGCTTGCAGTTCATCCGTTTCATTGTATTAACAGAATCCGGAGTATTATCGCATGAGAAAAAGACAAAAAGGTAGCAAATGTTTTGTACGTAAGCTGAGCTCCCTGTACGTTGACAAGTTAATCTGGGTATTTTAGATATACATATATTCCTAAAACAAAAACACTTGACTGCGGCACTGGCTTTTTACTATACGGCGGCCTCACTCTAACAGCTCGGTCTTAATTCACAATGCGATTAAGCAATACAATTTTCTTCGTTGTCACTTCCATCAAAAACGTTAATTTAAACTTTCGTTTGATTTATTTCATATATCAGAGTATCACAAATGTATCTGCTGAAGCTATATCCATTATTTGTAAAGTTCCTCAATCAGTCGCCCTTGTATACAACCTGAACATCATTATTTATTATAAAATTTTGATGACGTATGACCATGGAAATCTTACGGCACTACTGATATATCCTAAACGTTTTCACATACATCATGGCAGTTATGTAGATTTTGCATTTAATTTGCTGATTGTATCAGCTCCTCTGGATCATGTAATTCAAAACACATTTCATGTCATATGACGATAAGCTGGGCTCAGATAAAATCTTTTCATTAAAAACTTCACCTCAGTTTACACTGATAGCGTCGAAGATTACTGTCTTCGTCGTAAGATTGGTTTGTTTATTTAATAAAATATTTTTTTTCCATCCTGACGTATATTTTAGTGATAAAATCACGAGGTTGTAACCAAAGAGTTTTATATGCTCATTTCTATCTTCATGCCTGTTCCATAATCTTTTAACGTTGTTCCTTGACACAATCCACTCGGATACCTATCTATTATCCCTATTGCATATTTAACCACTTCCCGGAGATAGCTGTGGTTGTGATGACATTATGTAAATAAAATTATCATGATAGTAGTTATTAAATATCAATTGATACTTTAATCAATCTTCATCCTAAATGATATAATCCAATCAAATACATATGTTTTTACTTCTACGAAACTTGTTACAAGCAGTATTTTGACACCTATTGATATCGTACAACGGCTGTCCCATACCGTGTTGAATTTCATAACAAAACATGACCGGAGTCAGGCGAGTGCTGGAGAAATACTGCAATGTTAATTTAGCGTGCGCCGGTCTGATTTGGCGCGAGGAATGTTGGACTTATCAGCCTCTCGCTTCAGCCGGCCCAGCGTGATAGTACAAGGCCCAGATAAACCCTTTCGGGGTGACAAACGAATCCTGGAGTACAGTGATGCTAAAACGTTCAAGGGCCAATGTCCGTGAAATGAAGAAAAAAGAATTTGGCCAAAAGCAAAAAGATATTTAGATCATTATATCAGAAATTATATTCATTCGATTTAATTTTTACATAATGCTATGTCCACTTGTATTTGTTTGAAACAGAATATCATATACACTATTACATATCGAGTACATATTGGCGAAAACATTCCTTTGCTGCAATATACTATAATCGATAATTTATTATGTCAGTGTTATAATTGAGTATTATCCAGCCAATTTACAGTTTGCATGTCGACCTTAATAAAACGGATATCTCAGTTGTATAAACCGAACCATGTGGAGTACCAGCTCTCCCAATAAGAAGTAATGGAGCTTTGACGAAAATAAAATCCAAAGAATCTCTCATCGATTTCTTCGAGGAAACTTGTTTTCAATGTAATGACTTGAATTGATGTATTCTTTCAAATCAATTACCAATCAAAATAATATCCATATATAAATGTACATGTGGACTGTTTTAGTAATATCGTATATGTATACCTAAAACATTTTAATTTAGTTTTATCGACCGTTTTGGCAATTCTACGATGAGAACTCATCAGTCTTTGCAATTGTTAATACAGTACATTGATTTTCCTTTTTTCCCCAAAACAAATCTATTTGAGGTCACAACATATGCTCTTTTCACCGATTTTGAGCAAATATGAACTCATTGTTTTCACACATATAAAAAATAATGTAATTGAATATTATTTTTGTATAAATCGAATTCCGGGAGAAAAATAGGATGTGAACCGCCCGCCCGTGGAGTGTTACTACTTCAGATAATATCAATAGAGCTTCATGAAATATTTATAAACCCTATTTGTTTTAATGATAGGAAATGGAAAGGACAACACCCTTTCCTTGGCCTGGCAAATATTTACCAATGTAAAAGTAAAGACCAACGGGATACGAGGCTAGATCCGAACAAATATCCTTTACAAATTGCACCTTATTGACTCAGCAATTATCACCAGTGTGCTGCTCTAGTGAGGTACACTACATTGCAGTTCAGACACCACATCAGAAATATGATTAACATTGATTGCTGCATTGTTTTAGAGCATGTGTCTTTTTATACGTACAATTTTCGTAAAATTTGTAACTTGATTTGATTGAAATTGTGATTTAATTTTTTAGATGCTGATGGTTGTCAGTGAACATTTAATTACTGAAATATTTTGATATTGTATTACAAATTGGCAGAAATATCACATAATTTGTGCGGATTCGCCAAAAAATATCGCATTCAAAGCAACGAACGAAAGAGAAAAGGACATTTGCACGATGTATTTTATGGTGGTGTTGAGATCCTAAACAACAAAATACGATCAGAAATAGAAAAGAAAGCGACCGAATTGTATGAGAAAAACTCTCAAAATCCAGAGAACGTCTACGGACCCTCCAGATGCCAATGTGGCCAATTTTAATGAAGTGTATGATCACGTGGCTAGCGTATGAATGAAATGAAGTGATGCGACTCACCCATGCCCGGAGGACACCCTTCTCCATCCGCGATGGGATTCTTTCTCTTCCTGGGTCGTCCCTTTTGTACCGTCCCGACTCCATTGTAATAGGGAAAATGCCCCCCAGACGAACACGGGAGTCCTGGAGTCATTCCGTGGAAAAATTCGCCTTGGAACAATAGTTCATAATCCGTTCTGCAATAAACTAAATTTTCTTTCATTCCGAATTGGTCTCCCGTAGTAAGTGTTTTATTGCACGCCATACATGTGAAACACGTGATGTGGTAGACCCAGTCCCGGGCGCGCATTACTAGTTCATTAGCAGATATTCCTAATTGACACCTTGCACACCTTTTCACAGCAAATCTTCTGAAATAAATAAAACATTATATAAGTATATCTTTAATGCTTTCTATTAACAAATTACTTATATAAGAACATTTTGAAATCATATGAAAGACTTTTACAAGTTAAGATATAATGTGCTAATAAAGCTTTAACTTAACTTTACGTTTGAGTAATATTCAAGTAGCATAAATCGTATCTTGATAATAATATAATTACAACATTTTATTTCAGTCATTCCGTTTTAGCAGATTTATTTGTTCCATGGCTATGATAACATAGCCAGACCTTCCTCGTCTGGTAACACACGAGATTAGTGTGACCCTTAGTGTACAGTACTTTGCTAAGGAGTAGATGTCGGACTGGGACAGGTGGGGTGTTACATGTAAGTTTGGTTACATGTATCATTGTAATAAAGAATGGGGTATTGACGATAAGGAAACATTACGTTGAAAATTGGATTTGAGAGAGAAAGTTACATTGATTATTAGCAATAAGAAAATTACTAGGTATATATATTATAAAGAAGAGTTATAGAGAATATAGAAGAATATAGATCATAAGAGAAAAGGTAAAATTTGAAATAAATATGATTTTCTTAATTTTTGAAATTTAAATTAAAATATGTACGATCCTCGATTTAAATGGAGCATAATCATATTACAGACATCAAAGAAAAATCACAAAAATACACATCTTTAATCTGATACTCTAGAGCAAAATATTAAAACAATTGGTGTGTAAATCTTGAGACGACTGTATTAAGGGCAATTTATTCATGGTAATAAGTACTTAACAGCCATCGATACTTGTCTAATTTGATAACCCTCAATAACTTTTATTGTTTTGAAACATAAATTATTTTGCCAAATGGATAAAATTAGGTAAAATCTATTATATATATTTATATAAAGTACTCTGTCAAAAAGGTAATATCATTAATCAAATGGCATATAATTATAGATCCTTATGGAAGACGACTTACTTAAAATGAGTAAATTGGACAAGAAAGTAATAACATAGCGTAAACAATATAAGGTTGTCATATTTTTCGAAAATTTTCTCTTTTATCAACACACATCAACAGGAAAACACGGAACCAATTACGTGTCTTGATAAAGCAGCGGATCGTTTTGAAAATTTGACAACCTTGTATTGTCTACACCGTTGCGATAACTTACTTGCCTCATGTATACATATATTATTTTAGCGGAAATTCATTTGGTTATTCCATGCATCTTAATGAAAAACAAACACTTAATGCATGAAATTATAGATTTTGTGATATTTTGAGAAGTAATTTCAGATATCACACTAGGGTGGTAAAAGTGAGTTGCATGAACTCTGGAGCGGAGTGTGAGGTAACGACAAGCACATGACGAAATCCTATAGCTTTGATAAGCTGGGAGAAGTCAATCTAAAACATCAACCGGGTAAGTAGGAAAACTATTTGAAATCTTTATCACGTAATGTTATATATAGTGGAAATGTAGATCAAACGAGTTAGAGGCACTATTGACAACTTAATTGCTGCCATGGATGATAAATCTGTAGAGGAGGGGAAACAGAAAGTGCTGCTTCTAACATTTACGGAGATTTACTTTCATAATCGACGCCCAATGAGGATATGTGGACCCTTTGTAATGCTGAAATTTCAAACCCAGTAAAGAACTTATATTTATATAACGATGAGCTAATATGAATTTGCATGTGACAGAAGTTTACATGAAAGATATCAAGAGAAAATATTATAAAACAAAAAACGGAAATGCGTTGAAAATATAAAATCAAAAGTCAAACGCATGTGTGAAAACCGACTGTCTGGATTCATTTATTGCTGTAAAAGTCTGGGCTACCACCACAGACCAAACCCACATGTGCTTACTTTCAAAAACAACAAAAAAGACAAGGGAGGAACTAAGAGCAACAAAATGGCCAAAAGAATCCTATTCTTATAGCTTTTCTCGTTCCGGATCAAACACAACATATTTCAGTCCTGCCCCTGTTGAAGGCTGAGTACACGGCCCCTCCGTGTACAAACCACCAAAACAGGAATTAGGGGTTCAAAGAGACACGCGCGCGCTGCCAGATGCATATACCGAGAGAGAGCCAGATGTCTTAAGCCAGGGATCTGGGAGCATCGTACGCATGCCTTGGTCCCGATCTAAGACTGCACCTGCAAACAATGGATTACCTATAGGATTTAGGATTTAAGAGTACAATTATACAGAAAAAATACAGGCTAGAGGTCCGGTTCATGCTGATGATGATTCCGACTGAAGGAATTATAATGTCGAATACAGATATGTTGTGAAATCTTAAAGAAATTGCTATCAAAGCTTTAAATTATCAACATTAAAAGATTTTAAGATTTATCGACGTTCTCAAACTGTCACGTGAAAATTATCAAAAGTATATTTTCATTATCATAAACTGGCTTTCCGCAGATAACTGATATTGTTCTGTAACAGATATATTTTTGGAAATAAAAATGAAGACGAAGATATCCTGTTTATTGAATTTTTGAAAATTAAAAGGGGAATTCTAAGTAAACATTAGGGAAGGATATTTTCAATAGCAGTGTGTCGACAAATAAAACCTTTAAATATCTTACAACTTTTTACATATTGACATACAAAATCCCTCGACGTGTTCGATTTCGAAGTGTGAAATGGATGACCGTGTAAATCTAGATCAAATTATGACAACTTGTTGCTCTCTGCTTGGAAATATGGATACGAATTAATCCTTCAAAATTGGCAACTTATCTTACATAAATGAATTATGAATATTTTATGTAGAGGATTGTGCACGTTTAATTTCGTAATGTCAATTACAAACACTATAATTGTGACGTGTAACTACTGTAGTAAGCTTACCGAGCTCTGTGTTACCACAGTTTGAATGGATCTAAGATGAGCAAACAGTGATGAATCGCCTTATCACGCGACGTGAGGGATATAAACACTAGTGATTACAGTCCAAATACAGAGCCTTTGCTGGTTACTGTACATTGTTAATGCATTACATCGGGACGGACTGCTAATATTTACTAAGGCGCTTGGTCAATATTGGTTTAGCATCCAAAAAATCGCAGGTGCCCATCTCATATATATCAGAACAGATTCAAGCTCTCAGACGAAATCAAGTACTTCATTCACTCCATTCCACAAACGATATATCGAATTTTATAACTGAAAAGAAATTTAACATTTCATCCATATTTTATTATTACCAAATTCAATATATCGAGCTCTTTCTATGGTAAATTAATGCTGAGTGTATGTATTTTCAATGTAATATTTCCGATACTTCTGTAGATATTTCCTGAAAAGCTTGTGTACATACTTCCGTATGCGGACTATCTGATGGTTGATCCGGATAGCGTTACAGTAGTTTATCGATGTTCACAGAAATTAATACAGTAAAGTACACGACGTAAATCGAAACTACAGCAAACCATGGACACACAACAGGCACATGGAAACGACAATTTCTACTCAATCCCTGGAAGGGGTATCTTAGGTAGCAAACAATGGAAGTGTGTATATAAAATACCAAAAGAACTGGAGGGGTATCTGGAGTGTAATTTACAGGAAGCGAGTGGTATCTTAATCATATTATAAAGCACCATACTGACTAGTTAATCATAATATAAAGCACCATACTGACTAATTAATCATAATATAAAGCACCATACTGACTAGTTTAAACATTTTACATTACTACAAGGTACGATTATATGAGGTTCAAAACATCTACAGAGTATATGTCAATAATCAATGACACAAGAAGGTGTGTATCAATTAGCTGACATTATCTTTTGTATCAATAAATCCCATGAAAATCGGTAAACAGTTTACATGATACATGCAACGAAATATATTTCATCAGTGAAAAGTAGAACATTATTAGTTAAAATTGTGTAATTTATGCTTATAATTTTGTTCCAACCATACTGTTTTCAACTTGTGTTTTCAATAGATCGTAATACCATTTAGATATATAAAACTTCCTTTTGCCAAAATAATGTACTCCTGATTACGGTGGAGACATGGCGGTTAGCGTATCACCAAGCTATACATTCTTATACAAATAGAAAATAAATGAGTACACATGAACATCGATAAAGTAATTTCCTAAAGTCCATGTATTCATTTTGAGTAATACTTAGCTCAGTAGGATTCCGGATAGCTACAATCCGACCTACCGGAACGTATTAGAATGGACCACCAATACACTGTTTACCTAATGTCACATAACATAATTCGGGGCACACTCGGTGTTAAATAAACGTTATAATACGAAATGATTAAGTTTTTATCATTTTGACACAAGAGGTTAAAAGGATTATTGTAGGTCAATCCCTAACATCTTGTCGCCAAATAGATCGGCTTTTGTATTGATCATCGCGCCTGTAATTATACACATAATACACTTTTCATGGTTTCTAAAGGCAAACCAAACGCAATGAACTTAACTTTATAAATCAGATTGATAGGATAAGGGCATTTTAAATTTCATAGTTATGGCACTTGAATTGCATTTCCTATGACAAATAACATTTAACGCGACGTTTAGTTTGCCTGTATTTCAACCAGTTTTTAGTTCCAAAATTCTTAATTGATTTGGGTACAATTTCCATTACGTCTTACTCGGGTTATCTCAGTACACACATTAACATATAATTAAACAGCTTTGTTAAAGATCAGTCGACCATTTCAAAACATGACATAATATTTACGTGTTAAAATTTTGACAGCTTATCTTATTAAATATTTCTCTTCTGCATTTAGATAATTGAGCTCTTTTTTTTGTTACACAACCGACTCTGACAACATGAAAATTAATATTTCAATTTTAGAAAGAGATTTCCTCAAGTTAATTTGTATATTATACAAATATGCTTTCAAGTACTCTGGATATCTTATTTCAATATTAGAACCAATGCGTAGATAGTTACTGAATTAAAGATTAAATATTACATATAAATATGTAGTTGCGACATCTAGATTACATTT